TAAAAATTTATCAGTAATAATAACAAAAGCCTTTTTGCAATATGACAATAATTTAACAAAAACCAAAGAAATATTTTAATATAATCTTTGTCTTGCTAAATTGAAAGTTTTTTGTTTTTTTCAATCTCCATGCATCAAAAAGATGTACTTGTTGTATTTGAAGTTTTGCAAATAAAAAATATCTTAGATTTGTGAAGAATTTTGGCCAGCAGTCTGCTTTTTATTCATTGATGGATGAGACACACCCAGAATTTTGGGGTGAAGAACACATGCCCAAGATTGGGACAGACAAGATATGCCCAAAGTTTTGGGACAGACAAGACACGCCCAAAGTTTTGGGACAGACAAGACACGCCCAAAGTTTTGGGAAATATGAGACACGTCCAAAATTTTGGGAAATATGAGACACGCCCAAAGTTATGGGAAATATGAGACACGCCCCAAATTTTTTAGAAATTCAAGACATGCCCAAAATTTGTGGAAATATGAGACATGCCCAGAATTTAGCAATTAAATATATCAGAAAAACTTGACAGAAACTGTCAAGAGCCTACTCTGTACCTTAGAGAGAGAAAGAGTTTCACACATGCCAAGCTTGCCACTTTCCATATAAGGGGCACACATGAATTTGGAGGTCAGAGGTTTATTCTGCCTCACTGGCTACTGAATTTCTTAAGGGATCAACAATTTATTCACACTTGAAATAAAAAAAAAAAAACAGCACACTTATTCTGACTTCATTGTTTAGTTATTCTAAATCTCTGCTTTCATCATCTTTGACTAGCAAGGTCACCCAGCATTGCCTATGTATCATATTAAAATAACACCAGTAATGTATGAATTCTTGATGATTAATATTAATAACTAGCTGGATCAATAAAAATTCTACAGTTGACACTTGACATGTTTTTTAAATTTTAAGGAGGATAAATTGTAAGCATTAATTAAATACCCATAAAGTCCTATACAGCATGTCATGTTGCAATGATTTTTCAAATCTGTTCTTATGACATGTCTTTGATCAGTCAGAGTGAGACCAATAGAAATGGCTCATGGCTTTTATTAATTTTTATTACTGAAACTAAACGTTTCTGGTGTGGCATATTTCATACTAGCAGTAGAGCCTGGCATTGCCCGGGGATGTAACAGTAAGAGATAGATCAAGTATTGACCATCATAAAGACTGAAAAATAAAATTGACAAAGATTATTGTTTAAGGTTGACAGACACGCATGTCTTAATTAGGTTTTTTTTTTTTTACGAATTTGTCAAACCCAAACTCAAACATTGTTTTCAATCGTTATGAGTCTACCTATTGAATAGAATTTTATTATAAACAATTGTCTTGTAAATGGAATTTTTAAAGCATTCTGAATGTAAAAATAAAGAAAAAAGTGTGCAAGACAATAAGAAACACTACCTGCCAAAAAAAAAGTGAAGTTTTGTTGAAATCGGTTGAAAAATGTAGGAAATCCGATCCCATATATAAGCGAACACACACACACACACAAACAACCTGGGTTTTATAATAAGTATAACTCAATATGAGTTTTCCCCCTTTCATTCTCGTGAGACTCTTAATCGTGTTTTCAAATTGATTTCATGCAAAAACAATTGTGTTTTTTCAATTTTTGGCGCTGTCAGAACCACCACAAGGTAATTTTACGTAGTCCTGTGAAGTTTTGTTGAAATCGGTTGAAAAATGTAGGAAATCCGATCCAATATATAAACATACAGACACACACACAACCTGGGTTTTATAATAAGTATGATTACTAGATCATTTCAATAAAGCGTACATTAAACATAAGAGGGTTATTGCTTTCTCTATCTCTGCTTTATCTAAAAATGTACGTACCAGAATGAGGCTTGCTGAAAGTTAAATAAAAAAAAGAGATTTATTGTGTGCTGCTGCTATACACAGAATTTGTGGGTAAGCTAGATTTGTGGACAGGGGACAGGCAGGCTGATACGGAATTGTTGTCATACCATATCAGGCTAACTAAAAAACAAGCAAAATAAGATGATATTTAAACTCTGATTAATTTATTATAATATTCATTTCAATTTCATTTTTTATCACTATTTAAAAATAAGAAAAAGAAATGTTAACTTTGTTCTAAATATTTTGTGTGTCCTCCATCCTTATTTTTTTACATGTGTGAGTCCTTACTTATGTTTTGTGCACACATTTGTGTGTCCTCCTTCTGTATCTTTTGCATGTGTGTATCCTCCACCCTTAACTTGTGTATGTGTGTGTGTATGTGCAGGTTTTCTTCTTTTGTGTTTGCGTCCTCCTTATCTTGTGTGTGTGTATGTCCAGCATGAACTCTAAACTGTAATATTTAACTCCTTCAAACCACATATATTCTGATTCAGCATGTTCTAATGAAAGTTTTCAATGACAAATAATTCTGTAATCTTTATAGAAGTAAAGATATTTTTAAAATAAAACTTTTTTTTCATTTTAATGCAATAATTTTTCATTTGCATTTTCTATTTTACAATTAATATTATTGTATTGGATAAAATATGGAAATTTATTTTTGTAAGGAAAGAAAGCTTACAAATTGTTCACAATTTATTTAATGAATAAAATGATTGCCCTTGTATTATTTTAAATTTTTCATATTCAATTTAATGTTTTGCCAGTATATTTAAAAAATAATCGAATGACAGGATTTGTTTGCAAATAAATAGAAACTTCTTTAATTTTTTTTAAAAATAAAACTTGCTTTTATATCCTCCTTTATTAAACAAAAAGTACAAAATATTCTACAATTAGGTAAAGTTTAACTAAGGACCTGGCAAAATATTTTTCAATGCTATTATCATAATGCTTGGTAATTTTGATTGTTTTTAAAAGTTGGGATGATAATGGTGAATTTTTATGATATTGAAGAGAATAAGTGAAGTTGATAAAAAGTCAAATTTCTGCTTGCCAAATGATTTTCTAATTTAAGGAAAAATTGCAAATTATTTCTCTTAATTGAAAATGCTGAGCAAGAAAAAGAGTTAAAATAATCCAAATCACAATGAAATACAATTCATTTTAATAAAGCATAACTTAAAGAAAATAAACATGTTGGGAAGAAACATTAAAAAAAGGAGAAATAAATAAAAGAAGAATTAGAGAGACAGTCGGACAAAAAATGAAAATGTAAGTCAGACAGATAGATGGTCGCAGCAATAGAGAAAAAAAAAACTTTCAACAAAAGAAAAGAGAGAAAGAGAGAGAAAGTCAGACAAAAAGGAAGTGAGAGAAAGAGAGAGAAAGTCGGACAAAAAGGAAGTGAGAGAGAGTGAGAGAAAGTCGGACAAAAAGGAGAGAGAGAGAAAGTCGGACACAAAGGAAGAAAGAGAGAAAGTCCTACAAAAGGGAGAGAGAGAGAAAGTCGGACAAAAAAGGAAGAGAGTGAGAGAGAAAGTCGGACAAAAAAGGAAGAGAGTGAGAGAGAAAGTCGGACAAAAAAGGAAGAGAGTGAGAGAGAAAGTCGGACAAAAAGGGAGAGAGAGAGAGAAAGTCGGACAAAAAGGGAGAGAGTGAGAGAGAAAGTCAGACAAAAAGGAAGAGAATGAGAGAGAAAGTCAGACAAAAAGGAAGAGAGAATGAGAAAGTCGGACAAAAAGGAAGAGAGTGAGAGAGAAAGTCAGACAAAAAGGAAGAGAGAATGAGAAAGTCAGACAAAAAGGAAGAGAGTGAGAGAAAAGTCAGACAAAAGGAAGAGAGGAGAGAGAAAGTCAGACAAAAGGAAGAGAATGAGAGAAAAGTCAGACAAAAGGAAGAGAGAATGAGAAAGTGGACAAAAAGGAAGAGAGTGAGAGAGAGTCGAACAAAAAAAGAGAGAGAGAGAGAGTCGGACAAAAGGAAGAGAGAGAGAGAGTCGGACAAAAAAAAGAGAGGAGGAGAAAGTCAGACAAAAAAGGAAGAGAGTGAGTGAGAAAGTCAGACAAAAAGGAAGAGAGTGAGTGAGAAAGTCAGACAAAAAGGAAGAGAGTGAGTGAGAAAGTCAGACAAAAAGGAAGAGAGAATGAGAAAGTCGGACAAAAAAAGAAGAGAGTGAGAGAGAAAGTCGGACAAAAAAGGAAGAGAGTGAGAGAGAAAGTCGGACAAAAAGGAGAGAGAGAGAAAAGTCGGACAAAAAAGGAGAGAGAGAGAGAAAAGTCAGACAAAAGGAAGAGAATGAGAGAGAAAGTCAGACAAAAGGAAGAGAATGAGAGAGAAAGTCAGACAAAAGGAAGAGAGAATGAGAAAGTCGGACAAAAAGGAAGAGAGTGAGAGAGAAAGTCAGACAAAAAGGAAGAGAGAATGAGAAAGTCAGACAAAAAGGAAGAGAGTGAGAGAGAAAGTCAGACAAAAAGGAAGAGAATGAGAGAGAAAGTCAGACAAAAAGGAAGAGAGAATGAGAAAGTCGGACAAAAAGGAAGAGAGAGAGAGAGAGTCGAACAAAAAGAAAGAGAGAGAGAGAGAGTCGGACAAAAAGGAAGAGAGAGAGAGAGAGTCGGACAAAAAGGAAGAGAGTGAGTGAGAAAGTCAGACAAAAAGGAAGAGAGTGAGTGAGAAAGTCAGACAAAAAAGGAAGAGAGTGAGTGAGAAAGTCAGACAAAAAGGAAGAGAGTGAGTGAGAAAGTCAGACAAAAAGGAAGAGAATGAGTGAGAAAGTCAGACAAAAAGGAAGAGAGTGAGTGAGAAAGTCAGACAAAAAGGAAGAGAGTGAGTGAGAAAGTCAGACAAAAAGGAAGAGAGAGAAAAAGAGAAAGTCAGACAAAAAGGGAGAGAGAAAGTCAGGCAATAAGGAAAAGAGAGAAAAAAAGAAAGTCAGACAAAAAGGAAAAGAGACAAAGCCAGACCAAAAGGAAGAAAGAGAGAGACAAGGTCAGACAAAGAAAAAGAGAGAAAAGTTGGTCAAAGGGACAACCAGAAAAACTAATAAGCAATCCTACAGACAATGTGAGACACCTCATCCCACATGTCAGTCCAGAAGCATCTCTACTTGTAGCTTACATCACCTGGTATTCCCCAGTGATCACCCATCCAAGTAATGATCAAGCTCAACATTGCTTAACATCTATGATTAAATGAGAACTGGTGTTTCAAGGTGATATGACTATCTGGAGCAAAGTCTTTCAAATGGAGAATATGTAAAAGAGAAAATGGGACATAGAATAATATGGTGGATAAATGAAAGTGATTACAAAAATGTAGGAATTCTGGAGAGGAAAAAAAAATTCAGGTTCAAATTTTCTAAAGAAAACTATTTAGCTTGGGATAATCTTTAGATTAATAGATTTGGATTTAAAAGCGAAATAAAAAAAAAACATAGATACCAACTCAGAGTTAACTCCTGGCTTAAACAAAAAGATGAGACTTGGAAAAAAAAAAAAAAAACTTGGGATGACCAAAAATAATTCTTCAAAAACTGACCAATGTAAGTAAATTAATTAGATTCCTTGAATCTTTTGGTTTCAATCCAATGGGGGAATATGACTGCAAAACACTTTCTCCTCCCCAATTTATAGACAGAAGCACACCAATGCATGCTGGGATTTCTTCTTAGCCAATAAAATAGGCCAATTCTCAGTTTCACTCCCAGTCTGTCTTGAAGTCAAAATACTGTTCACATATCTGGATGTACTCGTGTATTGAAACCAATTCTTAGTTTGGGAACTTTTTGCCTTATTACATTTAATTTGCCTTGCATATATTGTTTGCTTGCTTTATAATATTTTTTGCCCTCTTCTCTTCTTTTTCTTGTTGCTTATTACAAACTTTGTCAATTCTGTTTTTTGGTCAGTTCCGTCATTTATTTACATTTAACCAGGGCCACTTACTCTACACAATCATTTAACCTACTGCATTGAAGATTAATTCATATTATGACTCAATTATAACTTAAATGACATTTGACTGAATCAGGATTCTTGGAATCTGCATATAAAATTCCGCAACTTTTGTTACTCCATCCATCCATCACATCCTCTAAAATAACTGCACATTGACCAATTGAAACCAAATTTTGGGGAGAAGTGCAAACAGGGAAGTGGGGGTACAAAGTACAACTGGTTTTACTAGGATGCAGAGTTTAGTACAATAAATTTTCATTCATTTATTTGGAAAAGTTAAAACCTTTATCATTTAAATACAAAATATTCCCACTATTTTAAAAACAATTTAATGATTAAAATAACAAATAATTCTTTAATAAAAATGTTATATTAATTTTTTTTTGTATCTTTTCTTTAAGTTTTTATATATACAAGAATCCCATTTCCAGTTTGCCCTGCATTTGTGAGAACTATAAACAAATCCAAAAGGCCAAACACTTCAAAAAGTTGGAATTTGGCTCCAGAAAGAAATATTTACACATGACCAGTTGCATGTTGCATGCTCAAGAGTAAGAAATCCTAAAATGTATTCTTTGCTGTTAAAAAGGAAAAAAAAATTTCTTAAAAGATATTGCTTACCATGAAGTCCTATAAAATTAAAGAAATTATTAAACCGCAAAGTAGAATTTTTGCCAAAGTATTTTTTCCAAACAAATCAGTTGATTCAAATTTCATCGACTGGTTTGTGAAATTGAATGAAACATAGCATGTGGCAGAAAAATTCTAGTTAGTCAAAATTTAGTGGAAATGAACATGGAATAAAAGAAGAATGGTTGGGAATCACTAAACGGGTTTCTTAAGAGAATTCATTTAGGTGGGGAAACCTTAATTTGAAATTAAGTTTGATGAAGGTAAAGTCTCTAAAAATCATTCAAAATTTAGAGTCAAAATTAGAAAGAAATTTATAATTAGTTAAGAGCTTTATAATTAATGATGCCAAGAGTATTCATCAATTTTTGTTTGCCTAATAGCAAGGATAAAACACATCCCCACAATACAAGAATATTTTGATGAAAGAAAATTAAAAACTTGTAGATTCCAACTGTTAAGAAAGTTGGTTCACTGTGCCATGCTAAACAATTTTTCTTGCCAGAATCTATTTTACATATTTTTAAGTCTACCATTCATCCATGTGTTGAATATTACTGCTGCATCTGGGCTGGTGCACCTGCTATATATTTAGAGATTCTTGATAAAATCCAAAGAATCTGCAATGTTAATGGTCCTGACATAGCATCTCAGCTTCAGTCTTTTTACCCCCACATCATAATGTAACTCTCCTGTGCCTTTTCAATAAATACTTTCATGGTAATTGTTTGAATGATCTCTCTTCTATGATACGTTAGACATTAGGAATTTATGTGTAGAACTAGATGGGTGGGTAGGTCTCATCATTTTACAACTGAATTGGCTAGATGCATCTGTAAGTTCCATGTTAATCATTTCTTCTCTTATACTTATTGTTTGTGGAACTCTCTTCTGAATTCTTGCTTTCCAGCCAACTGCGGTCTTCAAAAATTTAAATGTAATGTCAATTGTTATCTGTATTTTTGAATATCATACTAAAATAAAAGGGATAGGTTTTGCGAATGTTTAACTGGAGTGTCTGTACCAAAATAAGATCAATTCTTCTTGGTAGATTTATAAGTCTACCATCCATCCTTGCTTAAAATATTGCTGTCACATCTGGTTTGGTACTCCAGCGATATATTTAGAGATTCTTAATAAAATCCAAAAAATCTGCAATGATATTGGTGTTGACCTGGCATGTCAGCTTCAGTTACTTTCCCAAAGTCGTAATGTACCTTCCCTGTGCCTTTTCTATTAATACTTTCATGCTAATTATTCTGATGAACTTTCCTTTATGGCAGCTAGACTTTATGAATTTAAGTGCAGTACTAGATTGGCAGATAGGTTTCATCATTTTACAGCTGAAATGGTGAGAGATAGAACCTTAAGTTCTATGCTAATAGTTTCTACTCTTGCACTTTTTTCTTCCAGCTTCTTGCTTTCCAGTCAAGTTTGATCTTCAAAAATTTAAATGTAATGTCAATCATTATCTTCTGCCTTCATAATTCCTCTTTTTTTATTGCCTTCTTTTTCTTTAATGGTTTCCTTTCTAAAGAAGAATCTTCAATGTCATCAATGTCTGCTTCAGTCTCTTTCCAACCATCATAACATAGCTTCCTTGTGCTTTCCTATAAAGTAGCTTTAATTATTGCTATGTGACACAAACTCTTAGCCTAAATAATCAACAGTGTTATTTTATGGCCATCTGTCATTTATATTATTGCCAAATTTATTTAAGTAGCAAAGTAATCATTTTAAGTAAAGCAAGTGCTGCATAATTTTCTGCATTTATTAAAATGTTTTACTTAAATTTATCAGGTTGTGGGCTGATAAAGAGGATGGACAAAAAAAAAAAATAAAAAGAGAGGAAGACAGAGTGAAAGTAGATTTGAAATAGTAAACCAACATAAAAACTATAAAATGAAACATTAAGTATTGGCTGTGATCAGAATATTTAAAAAGTTCTGCTTTTCTTTCTCTATTTTCTAAGATCTCTAGCAACTATGAAACTGATATTACAGGACATTGCGATGATCTGTGGTATGTACAAAATTTCATTAAGACTGGACATTTTAAAAGTATATTTTAATATATACAAATATATTAAAATAAAAAGGGAGGAAGAGCTGAAAAATAATTACTCACTGTGAAGTGATGAATCAAAAATAGAACAACAAAAAAGGGGGTGCTAATTGGTTATAACTCTTGCTTTTCCGAGCTCTTGAGAACAAAACATATATGTGCAAAACAGCTAAAAAAAAAAAAGTGGGGGTGAGGAAAAAATACTACCAGAAATATCAGCAACATAAATCACAAATAAATTACATATAGAGCCAGCAAACATTCCTTCTGCTTAAAAAGGGAAGGCTGCTTAGACTTACTATATAAAGTACATCATTTGGGAAAATCATAAGTTGATTGATTTAACAGCATATCAACTCCTTATGTGTCATTTAATGCCAAAACATTTCTTTGGAGCTTTCAAGTAATAAAAATATGTTATGCTTTCACAATTGAATACATGGTAGATGATACTCAGCTTTTGTGCATATACTAGTTTATGTGGACATGATTACTAGAGATGGTAATATTTTGTAGTTTTGCTGAAGTTATATGTTAGAATACAGTTTGATTTCTTTAAGAAATTCTAGGATATTCTATGGGCTAATGTCATGAAAGAGCTCTTTCATGTTGGTTGCTCAGTTTTGATTGGTGGCTCTATGTGCTATTTAATGCTAAAATCTAAATATTTTGTACATAACATTATACTTTCAGAGTAAAGGTATGTTTTTTAGGTATATATTTTGTAGATCATAAAATGTATCATTGGTAATTTTACTCATAAAAATATAGTGCTGATTTTTGTTTAGGGTTCAGTATTTGCCCATAGCTGGGACCCTAACAGGTGCTACCACCCTGAGTCCGGCTGGACCTGGGAACAACAGCAATTAAGAGGTGACTCCATGCTTCTCAAAATGTCCAATCTCACGATCAGAGGCCTTGCTGCTGGATGTAGTTTACTGTCAGGTGATCACAAGTGAGTTTTGTAAAGTTCTTAGTATGAAAGAAAAATCTAATCTCTGAATAAAAAAAGTTAAGAAAGGTGATGGAATAAGTTCCAGTGGCAAACTAATACAAGAATTGGAATATGAAACATGAAATCTTGGATATGGTCAGATGATTTAAAATAAGAAAACTAATATTTGGCCTCTTTTTCTACACCTAACATCACTAACCACCATCAAACTGATATTACAAAACGTTTAATCTGTATATGCCACCATTTGGAACAATCGTAAATTAACTTTTGTAAAGTTTAGTATAAGACAAAAATCTAATCAATAAATAAAAAATGATAATTAGGTTGAATGAATAACAAAAATTAGTTTTTAAGGCTTGTCAAGTATGGCACAGTGGTGTAATGGTTATCAGATCAGATTGGGCAATCAGAGAGCCAAGTTTGAATTCTGGTCGAGTTCATTAGATTCACTTATGGGAGAATACTCTTCTCCCCCCAGCTATGGATAACATAGCAGGACAGACTGGGTCCTATAGCCTTGGGTGGCAACCAGCCTAGGTGAAAGAAACTCTGAATTCAAACTGGATCAGATTAAGGAATCAGAGACCACTTGTGAATCCAAATTCCCACTGAAA